TCCCTCGTCCTGGGCCCCCCTCTATGAATCGCTTACTAACTGATGACTCACGTCTGTTTCCGTATCGTCGTCTTGACTGTCCCTTCCGCCTTTCCGCATATTCTTCCTGGATTGCTCTCTTCTATCTTTCACTCTTCTTGCTGTCCCGACCACCCTCCTGCAGTATTATGCTCTATCGCTCGCGTCTCTGTGGACTACAGGAGCTGAAGAGTGATTTGTATCTACTTGTATTCGTTCTTTTCTGCATTTCACATATCGTTCTCCTTTCGGGCATCTATTCGTTCTGTGAGCTAGATATATTATGGTCATATATATGTATATCGATATATATATTTCTTTATATCTTCTTTTTTATATCTCTCTCATCTCTTTTGTGTGTATATAGATCTCTCTACATTTTTGTATATATATATATTTTTATCTATATAGACACACATCACATATCTACTCCTATCCTATATATATTCTACCTAGGGGGTCTATCCCCTCACAATATATATATGTCTCTACACTTTTTCTTCCTCCATATCATACATACACGTATAAAGAAAAATATATTTGTGTAGACAGATGGGTATCTTTCTATATCTCCATATATAATATATATAGATAGATGGGTATCTGTCTATTTTTGGGTATATATATATATACCTATGGGGAGGTAGGGGGGGGGGGACCGGCCTTTGTGTGCGGTATAAAAAAGGGGGGGGGGGGGGGGGGGGGGGGGGGGCAGACTAAGAATGGTTCGATGTCGGACTACCTGATGGCAGTCGGTAGGGCTAGAAATAAAGTAGAAGCCAGGGAAGAGGCGGCTTGTCGCGGGCGGGCTCGCTTTAGTAATCCCAGTGGGGGGCAAATGGATGACACGACGTAAGAAGCAGATGAGTCGAGGCGATGGAATCCGACCGATGTTTGATTCACATGGACGGGTTGGCTTGTTGGTCATAAATTAAGAGTCAGAGATGCAGAGTGCAAAGGGCAACAGCTGATGATCGATCGGGTTCCGGGCCTGGCTCCGGGGTCCATCCCCCTCACCTCTCTCTCATGCTGCCTGCCTGCCTGCCCGCCTGCCTATTTAGGGGGCCAACGAAAAGGAATACCTGACATATTTAGAAAGAGCCCCCAAGGCCAGGGCAATCACTGTCACAGCGGTTGCTTCCCTGTCGAGAATCTGTCGCGAGGGGTTGGGCGGCAGGCGCAGTGGCGGGGTTCTTGCTTCATCTGCCGTAATTCCTTGGCCTTGATTCGATGCGTTGGTTTCGAGCACAGGAACGGGCAGCGGGCCAGGGGTTTCTCGCGTTTTGACTCGTCGGTTGGGACTTCCTCTTGTTGGAGCCTTCGCCCCTCGTCGAAAGACAGAGACAAAGACGAGGAGGGAGAGAATCAGTCGAATGTCATCTACCCTGCCTAAGGTACCTAGGTAGGTACCTAAGTTAGGCACCTAGGTACCTGTACTTACGGCCGTTGAGGTTGGTTCGCATCTCAGAAGGAAGGCTGCTAAGAGGTTGAAAGTCATGTCCATCACCATCAGGACCGCATCCCACTATCGATAGCTGAAGATCAAATGTTAAGTGGGGCCAGAATTGGCAACGGGCAGGTCATCGCGAAACACCAGGGAAAGACAGGCACCCATCATCTTTCTCAGCCTCATCCCATCCACCCGCGCATCCTGCTACGCCCTAATACCCAACTGCAACTCATCTCCCGCTTCCTCAAGTGGCTTTTCAGTCGATATTCCAGGGCCCCGCCGAGAGCCGAGAAAGAATTGACCCCTCGCGCCTTGTCCCTGCTTACGACAAAACCTCGCCCGAACAATCTCATCGCCACCATCCACGGCCAACGCCCATCATGTCCGGCGAGGGTCCCGAATCGATCCCCACCTCCGCCGACCCGCGCTCGAAGCGCCCGACCAAGCGCCGCGCCCTGACCCCCTCCTCCGCCCAGGCCTCGTCCCTCGACGCCCTCTTCGCCAAGCCAGACCAGGAGATCCGCCTGCCCGCCGACGTCCTCCTGCGCCGCACCTCCGCCGCCGGCGCCGCCCCCGAGATTGTCACCAACGTCCAGGGCTCCAGCGCCGGTGCCGGCTCGGGCGAGTTTCACGTCTACAAGGCGGCGCGTAGGCGCGAGTACGAGCGCCTGCGCGCCATGGACGACGAGGTGAAGATCGAGAAGGAGACGGAGGCATTTGAGCGCGAGAAGCTTGAGCGGGATGCGCGGGACGCCGAGCGCACGAGGAAAAATCGCGAAAAGAGGGACAAGAAGCGGAAGAAGGGCGGCGACAAGAAGGGTGCCCACCCTGCTGCTGCCAACAGCGGTGGTGGTGTGGCGAGGAGAGAGATTAAAGATGCGGAAGACCAAGGGACCAAGGACGGCGAGACGACATCGACCGAGACTGGGCAGAATGGTGACGTTTCCTCGGCGGCGGCAGCAGCTTCGACGCAGCCGGCGGGCCTAGTCATCCACGACGACGACTAACCTGCACACCTGTCGCCATCACATTCTGTACATAAATTCTAGCTTCTTTACACAGCGCACGGCCTCGCGGCCCATATCCCGGCGAAGATCGTCGGCGAAGGCGACGCCGGTAATGGCGGCAAGTCGACTCTTGATTCCCGAGAACTTTTTTAGTCTAGGTACTCCTAATCCGACCCTCTATGGCTCGTAAGGTACAGGGGTATGGTGTCGCGGCATGCACTCCGTTTCGTTCCGTGTCATTCATGTCTTCCCCTCCTCCTCGAGGGCTTCATCCTCTCCCGCCTCTTCTGTGGCACGTTCAAGCCCCCTTTATTCCTCACCGCCTCCGCCCTGGCCCGGTTGCGCGCCCTTCCTCGCGCTGCAAATGTCGTCCACGCGGAGAAGCAGGCAGGCAGACTGTATGAATCGTTAGTAGATGAGCCGCAAGAAAAGTGAAGAGCGTGTTCATCTGCGTCGGGGTTATAACTCACCTCGATGGCCGTCTTGATGCTCTGCAGCTTGATAGCCTGCGGCTCCCAGACGCCGTACTGGTGCATGTCCACGATGACACCCTCATCGCCATTGATGCCCCACGACGTCTTACCCTCGGCGTGCTTGGCACGCAGGTCCGTCAGCACGCGCACGGGGCTGGCACCGGCGTTCTGCACCAGCGTTCGGGGGATCACCTCAAGGGCGTCCGCCACCGCCTTGTATGGCCACTGTTGCACGCCCTCGATGCCCTTGGCCAGCTGCGCGAGGCGCACCGACACGGCCATCTCCGTCGCGCCACCACCGGGCGACAGGCGCGGGTGGAACATGACGTTGCGGGCCACGCCCATGGCGTCCTGGAGGTTGCGCTCAATCTCATTCAGCACGTCCTTCGAGGGGCCGCGTAGCAGCACTGTGCAGGCCTTGGGGTTCTCGCACTTCGTCAGGAAGGTGAAGTACTCGTCGCCAATCTTCTCAATCTCGAACAGGCCACACTGGGTGCCAACGTCCGACTCCTGGAGATCATCCACGCGGTTGACAATGGTGGCGCCGGTCGCGCGGGCTATCCGGTTGTTGTCCGTCTTGCGCACTCGCCGCAGGGCCGTAACGTTGGCCTTGACGAGGTAGTGCTGTGCCAGATCCGAGACGCCCTTCTCCGTGATGACGAGGTCCGGCTTGAGCGCCAGGATCGAGTCGCACATGGCCTTGACCTGCTCCTCCTCAATCTGCAAGATACGGTTCCAGTCCTCCTCCTTGGAGATCTCAATGTTCGTTTGCGACTCGCCCTTCTTGTACTCGAGCGGGCAGTCGAGCAGCACGATCCTCGGGTTCTCTATTCTCCTGCGCATCTTGGGGTGCGTAATATCCTTGTTGACCATGACGCCGTCCAGCACCCTGCTGTCCTCAATCTCGCCACCGGGCACCTTCTCGACACGGGCGTAGCGCTTAATGTCAACCTCCTTGTTGCCATTGCCGGGCTCCCAAGTGACGGTGCGAACGGCCTTCAAGGCGAGCTCGCACATCAGGTCGGACCACCGGGACACAAACTTGGTACCGATGGAGGAAGAGATGAGGCTGTACATGGCCTTGTCGTCGGTGGTGTCGATGGGGGTGGAGATCTCCTCGACAATCTCAAGGGCGTCCTTCAACGCACGCTTGAAGGCGGCGATAATCTGGACGGGGTGGATGTTGCGCTCGAGCTGGGGCAGGGACTGGGCAAGCATCTCGCCGGCTATGAATGGGTCAGCGTTGACCTTCAAATAGGGTGAGACCTCAAATTGGACGTACCCAGAATGATGACGGTCGTGGTACCGTCACCGACCTCCTCGTCTTGCGTTCGGCTGAGCTCAATCATGCTCTTAGCTGCCGGGTGAGACACCTCGATCTCTCTGAGGATGGCGTGACCATCGTTGGTCAGGACAATACCACCCATGGGATCCAGCAACATCTTCAACATGGCCTTGGGGCCGAGGCAGGAACGGATAATATCGGCGACGCTGTTGAGGTCAGATTTGTCGGGCGCTAGGGTGATCGAAGGATGGACACGTACGTCTTGGCGGCAGCGATGTTGGACATCTGAGCCTTGCGACCCGTCTGTCGCTCACCACTGTTGGTGTCTGTCGGGTTGGTCAGCACTTAGCATCCAGGGGGGGAGCTTCAGGAGCTCGGTGATGGAGGGGCGGGGACGTACTCATTACCACCACGGGGGCTTGCATGATGGGCAACGGTGTGTGTTTTCAACCGCGAGAGTAGAATGTCGTGTGTGCAAGCTTCGGAAATCAGTGGCTTCTGGCAGACTGAAATAGACGTCACGTCGTTGGCAGCGGGGTGTGGTCGTCGTGGGTACAGGCACCGGGCTTCTAAAAAGTTCGTGCCCGTGAATGGAGATTTTGGCGGGATGAGCTGGACTCGGCGGAACAATTTCGCGGTAGTACCTTCCAGACATTCGGGGTTCACCGACACCGAAATCGACCACTTGTACACCGAACGTAATGGATGCTGATTATGTAACCAAGCAGCATCTTCCAACTTCACTTCACTTCACCGGGCTTGAGCAACAGGTCCAACCTGGTCCATCGCATCTTTATGTTGGTGGTTGAAAGATGTCTGGAAGCACTCGCCTCTTCCTAAATAAGGTATAAATACGGCGATCCTAGCAATCATTGTGGTCGCCTTCTTGCGAGGACAGCCAGGCGTAAGACCTGCAGCATATGAGCCTGACCTAGCACCTACCCCGGGTTTTCAGAGCCGGAAGAATATGCAGTATCAGCAAACCCATGAATGCTTGCGTCATCATGGGTGTCCCCGTTATATCTTCTTGGGTCGACCTGGTCTTTTTCCGGAGTTTGAGCGAACCGCCGGGGGCGGGGGCAACATCCTCGTCTTCGTTCCCGCCACCATTGCCCAAGGGGCTTCAATATCCATATCGACAACGCAGTATCCCATCGCCATGTAGTGCTGGACTTGCGCCCAAATTTGCCTGTCCGAATCTGCTGAATCATCGAAACGTTTCCAGAAAAGCTCTGTTGCCTTGGTTCCCTCTTCCTCGCGCAGTCCGGGAATATTGGCCGCATGAAAGAAGTCGCCCTTCGTGTTCGACTGTGCTGGGAGCGGCGCCTGTCGCGATATGAGGAACAGTGGTACACCATCTCGGCAAAATTTCAGACGAAGGCACTTTTCCCTGGCAGCCTGACCCATCTCGGGAATGGGCATTGTCGAGACTTTTTCCCGGGGTGCGGCGATGCGCAGCTCCGTCGTAGGCATTGGGTTGAATTCTTTGGGGGCCGCGCCGCGCACTTCGGCCAAGTCCATTCTGATCTCAATGACGATCCAAGGAATGGCGTCGCTGCTAAGTGTTAGTTTTGCATCTCGATAAGGTGCATCTGCCATCGAAAGCGAGGGGTACCCACATCTCAACCTCGATGACTTTGATTCCACCTCGGTAGCCTGGTCGTAGGATGATTTTAGAGACCATCCGGAGGTTCTGATCACATACTTCGGACCCAAGTTCCTTTCCAAATTCCTTCAGGGGCTCGATGCTCTTGGGAATGCGAAAGTTGATCCACTTGACGTCTAGGAAGCGGTATCCAAAACACTTCGAACTTTCGAGCAGCGCGCGAAAACCCGTGCCACGTTGTCGTCCCAGCTTCAAGGTCCGCTCAATGTCCATCAGTCCATCTAGGGGGCGCCCCTCTGAGGGTTGGCCGGGTACGCGGTGGGTATGGCTGTTCCTTGCGCCGCACGCCGCCTGCGCGCGCTTGGAGGCCGCAGCACTGTCAAAGTAAGAACAAGACCAGCTGTACATCATTGACAGGGTGATTGGGTAACGTACACGAGAGGTGCGCGCTCACACAGATGCTTGACGAGAAACTGTGCTGCTACTCTCGGCTTCATGTGAGGATACAGGTTCTCAAAGGTGTATTCACCAAACGCCTGGGTCTGTAGCTCGTCGGAGGCCAGCTTGAGTCTCTCAGCGGCCCGATTTGTTTCGATTGTGGGATCGATGTTCAGCGCTCGATCTGTAGGGCCGAAGCCGCCCATGGCGAAAGCGCAGTTGAGTTGTTCAGGGTCACAGGTCGAGATAAAAGTGCTCTGTCCGATTGACCGCGCAAACTCCAGTCTCTTCTCCCTTCCGATCGTTATCCCAAGCTGTACCTTTTGCTCGATCGACATGGTGTCTTTATAGCCATTCATCGTTGCCAACTTGGCAGCTGCGTCCTGGAGGTCTTTCTGGCTGGATATCTGGCGGCTGGCCTTCGACACATCTGCCAGGTCAACGGAGGGAAGTTTTAGAAGGGGATGAACCTACTATGCTGCGATTTGGAAGGAAAGAGGTCTTGGCCCTTCCTGTTGCTCATCGCAGAATCTGAACAGCATCAGCAAGTCACCCAACGTCGGCGCAATGGATGGAAGACGGAACTCACATGAGTTACGGCCTCCTTCGTCTCTGCCAGAAACACCGTCACTCCCTGCCTCTTTCCCATGAAGGAGGGAGGGACCTCCAAACCCCGTGCTACTTCGTTCCCGTGAAGTTTTCATCCTGGAAGTTGACAGATCTTTGCTTGTAATATCTTGGGTTCCTTCTCCGGTCGAGGCGGCACAGACGCGTCTTTTCTTACGGGCGACGACGGTTTCAGTGCCCGGGGCAAGGCGTCTGGCGGGACGCCGTTTCATCGGCAAAAAGTGTGTCATGTGCTCTGCGTCGCACGACACTTTGGAAGGTGGTTTACTTAGGGTATTGTGGAAGTTATGTGCGGGGGTATAAGAGGCATCGTCGATAGGGTACACTGGCCTTGCCAACAGGTGGGGAATTGTTGATAGTTTTGTTGATGCCTCGCTTTAGACAATATACAAGCCACTAAAGCGTTTGCCTGTGTGAACCTCCCTACACTTCTGGGCGACTCCACGTTGTTCCCTCCCTGTTATCAAAAAACATAAAAGACGTGAACTAAACAATAGGCAGTCGCTCGCCACTCGCTTCTTGCGGTTGACGCCCGAAGCAGGTCGCTTGTGGTCCGAATATCTGTATTCGCTGGAGCCGAAATGCATGCTTCCCCAACCGCTCGAGCGTGGTCCACTCACCAGGGTATGCAGAGCACATTCGCCGCTTTCCCGCTACCGCTCGGCGCCGGCTGCCCCACCTTAGCCCGGCACCCGGACTGGCATCGGTGGGTGCCGAAGACCCGGCAGAAGCCAACAGCGCTCTTATCAGCCACAGCCATTTGGGGGCAAGCACGATGGAAATGCCGGCTCCCAAGTGCCCCGTGGCAGCAGCACCTGCGGGGCATTTCATTCAGCACCCGGAAGGTACTTCTCAGCTGCTGAATGAAGAAGCAAGTTGCTTCTCCTCAATAATCTCCCATTCTTCCCTTCCGTGAAGAATTCCATCTATCTCTTCTACATAGATACCTAGGTACCTTCCCATTTTTATTTCGATATAATATCTCATTCTCTCACATAGAAAATACCATTCTTCTCCTCAATACAATGTCCCATTTATCCCTTCTATACCACATCTCAGTCTCCAATGGCTTCGATAACCATCTCGCTGGCCTCAATACCCATTTCGACGCTCTTGAATACAAGTTCGAGCACAAATTCCAGAGAATTGGAGAACCTACAGTAAAGTCCAGTCAAATCGAGACCAGCTTAAAGACAGGCTCAAAGAAGATATCAAGCATGGAGCGCGCATCGAACCCAGCCTTAATATTGGGTAACTTAAGTCTAATACTCTACATCTAAAAATTTACTCGGAATTCTTTCAGAAATACGAATATGATAGTCGAAGCGATTAATAGACCGGCATCATTCGATAAGGCAATTGTTTCCTGGCAGCCCCTTCATCCGATTCATTCAAACACCCCTGTATCAACTTTTCCATCCTCGCTGGCTCAACTCATGTTAGTCAGAACGTTGGGTCGAGCACAGCGAAGAGGCCTTCCTCACAGAAGGTCCGCAGGCAATGGATAGGTATGGGGCCAAAACACATCTGAAATCTGGTGCTCAACGATCACTGTTTAGCCCGGTCAGTGCTTTCAAGCCCGCCATGAAGTTCTTGGAGGCTCGCGACAAGGACAACAAGACCGTAAGTTCTCTTCCCTAGTGTTTTCCCAATTGCCTGATCATGCGATCAGCTGACGGGGGACACAGAGCACGGACAAATGGCGCCCTGTCGTCAAGGGCATGTTGACTATTGCCGAGGAGGAGGAGAAAGAGGAGGTGATGACCCCAATAAAGACCTCGATGGTCTCAGAAACCCTAAGCAGAAGGCGGTTGGCCGTGCCGCTGCTCTGGGGCTCTTTGATTGCTTCTGGTGAGACTCGCCAGAGCATTCGGGCTCGGAATCTCTGTAATCCTTAAATACGCGTCTTGTAGTCCCTAGCCCCCTAACCAGCCCCATGTTCCATGGCTCCGCAGGCGACTTTTGACATGAGTACACCTAGTAAGTTTCTTCGCCGTATCACTAAACGTTAAAAGACACTGACGCTCAATAGAGTACGACTTTAAAGTAATACTTCTAGCTCTCCAGGTATCGACGCTTGGAAATATTCGTACCTTTCGGGACTGCATACGCCGCCAAACGGCGTGATAGATCAGTATACTCGGGACACAGCATGGATCGGACGAGTATTTGGCGATGCGTAGTTATTTCATGGTAGACTCTGTCATGGCTATTCTCAAAGACAGTGTTTCTCATTCCAGATTGCTACTGAAAGTTTTGCAAGTGGCCCTGAGGGCGCTATCCGATCACAACTGGCCATATGTGCCAGAAGACGCCTACGGAGCCATGGAACAGGGACTGTTCAGGGGCTAGGGACTACGAGGACGCGTATGTGAGTGTTTCGGAGGACCCTCCTAGCTGCGGAGGGAGGGCCAGGATTCAGATGTATTCTAACCTCATACCTATCATCTATTGCTTGCGGAACTTGTGCGGAAGACCTCTTCACTCTGCTCAGCCTCACGCCCCGACAGCATGCTAGGATCTTGTCGGCCCCGCCCGCTCGCCACCCTTCCCGATGAACAGCGGACGGTAGGTAGAATCGCCTCTCAACAAAACTTAGCCAGAACTAGTCAACGCCAGCCCCAGGCATCGCACACGCAGTTCACTAGGAGCTTTCTTGTTCTAAGAGGAAAAGGTTCTAAGAGGAAAAGCTATTCCCAGCTAGCCGTCACTATGACAGCTGGTGAGACTGACCCTTTGTTACCCCGGATCGGAGCTAGGTCGCCCCGCTGAGCACGTTCATCCGGTCAAATCCGTCAGCGTTTCCGGCATGAGCACGATCCGCAAGCGCTGCGCCGGACTCTTTGCTACGATGAGTGTGAGAGTATTCATCACCAATACGCGGGCGTTATGGCCACCACGTTGTCGACGTGGAACAGCGCTTTGAGCAGTTGCCCTACCTTCATCTAGCTACAGCGACATGTGGCGTGCGCGCCGTCGACCGGTCGAAGCAAGGTCCAGCACGAGCAAAGTAAAGGGGGGGTTGCGATATCAAGCACGTTTCTGGCTTCACACCTGAGCGTCGTTGTAGAGATTGAAACCATCTGAGTGGCTGGTAACTAACCAACCACACGTCTCCAGAGGCACTTCCAATCACTGAAGCGTGTGAAGCCTGGCCCCGTCACGACAATGCCCAACTGGGCCGCGCGTGCACAAGATCAGATCAGTGACGGGTAAGAGGCGGAACCCGTAGGAGAACCACTACAGGGCCACGGTGTTCCGGCTTGAACGATGAAGGGCAATTTCACAGGCTGGTCCCAAGCTCACATCCCGTCATCCAAAAGTCCTCCAAGGACGGCACTGCCCCACGCCATGGGAACGCGGCAAGTAGCAACTCGAGCGGTGCAAGACCCCGTATCCTGTATACTGGCGTTTTGCCGTCAGCTCCCTCTCGCCCCTGGGCTGGAGGTGATGATCTCGGGGGTCGAGGAGCGGGACCGCGGAACCACAAGGAGAAAGACATGTCTCAGAATGCCGCTGTCTCTCGTCTCTGTGCCGCACCGAGACCAGGGGCGTGGGTTATGAGGCAAGGAGCTCACGGTTCATGGGTGGCACCAGGTAGTTGGACGGTGAGGCTGCTGTACGATTCTACCTTGGTAGCCGCGTAGGACAGATCTCTGTCGTTGAGACATGGCGTCAAAGGGGGAATGAAGCGATCTCTTCGCGAGAGGCGGTGGGATTTCCACAGCTGAGATGATCCCGTACAAGGTCTGTCCAGCCCATGGCAGCCTCGCTTAATCGTCCCGCGTTGCGTTCCTCAGAAAGGCCAAACAAGCTGGCGAAACAGAGTGCTTGGAAGGAGACCGGTGAGCTAGAGAGACAAGTGGGAATCTGGTCTACGCCTCTGGCTGGTGACATCTGAGTCAATGGGAAACAAGAGGGAACACATGGTAACGAGCGGCAGCTCAGACAACGCTGGGCCCGAAGGTGACAGCTCCGTAGCCCGCTGGACACGGCATGACTAGCCCGGACCGTGGGAAGTGAACCCGCTGGCCCAGAGCACTCGAAACAGTGGGTTTCCTCCCTATCGTATGCCCGTCGAAACCGCCCATGGTAATTGTGCCCCACCAAGGCGCTCTGTGTTGAGAAATGTACAAATGCGAGTGGGCAAGTTGGAAGCTCCAGCTAAGGGACACGCATGAATAGTGTTGCACAGGAGAGGGTCGAGGACGTTCGGGGGTACGGCGGCAGTACCGGGCACTTTGCCGTGTTTTAGATCGAGAAGTACGGCGATCGGAGCTACAAGGTCGGGTGCTGCAGGGAGTCACAGAGAATTTACAACCTGTAATAGCCCTGGCACAACCAAAGTGGTGCAACTTGTCAGGCGAAGCACGACGATCAGCCAATGCAAGCCTGACAGGTTTTCGTTCTTGATAGAACGGAACGACCGCGAAACGCCAGGTGTCCCTTGGCCCGGTTGGTCAAAGTGTTCAGACTCTCCACTGCGGTGTTTATGGGATTGGAAGCCGGACGAGGCGTTGTTGTTTCAGGCAGATTCTGACTTTTGACTGGCAGGCCAATGGCTTGCACATCGAGAGTCGAACAAGATTGGGCGCATGTTCTAGAATGACGAAACTGTTGAACATTGACTCAAAGGTGGTCCGAGTTATGGAGGGAGAGAAGCTTCCAGAGGCTTGGGCAGCCGAGCACCCGGATGGCGGGTTGACACGTTGCTAGCATGAACAGGCAGTTCATGGGCTCCCCATTGGATAGGTAATTAATCTTCTCGCCCTGGAGCAGGCGGGCACGCTGATTGAAACTGTCGGCTTTCATGACGAGCAGCAATGCGGATAACGGACCATCTTCCGCGACTGGAGCCGCGGAAGGAATGATTGGACCGGACACCCACAATGGCGGACCGAGGGGATATCTTCCGAGTTATAGGCTCTTCCCGGCTATATCAACACTTGTTGATTTGTCCAAACTGCGTTCGGGGCCGTGATGAAACGGGTTGAACCGACATGGCCGAACCTGTGGACGGGCGAGCCGACGCGGCAGTTAAGGGGTGGCATAGCATAGAGGGCGGCTGAGGATGCAAAGTGCTGCGAGGCGCCGCATGGGGACGAAGTCGATAATGCCATGCCCCAGAGAGGAATCCATAGGCGTTGAGAGCCATGTGGAAAGTGCGAACGAGCGTTGTCCATTGAGGTGGTGTGCAAAGAGCAGCCAGTGCAACGAACCTGTGCCGATATGCCGTCCTCGAATACGCACCTCCAGCATACCTAGGTACCTAGGTAAGGTAGGTAGGCAAGATGGCTGACACGAGACAAGATTGGCTGGTGTGCGTTGACGGTCAAGCCTTCTGGCCATGAAGCCGTCTAGACTGAGATTGGGGGTGCTCCTACCGACAGGCAAGGGCTGCCATCCACTCAATCCATCCCTCCATGACGAATGTGCTGGCTTCAGCTGCCTGGAGGCGAGAAGGCGTCCTTGGCCTGAAGGGAATGCGTACTCGTGATTGAATCAATGACCCCAGCATGGGACACGAGCGGGACAGGAAGAGATGAGATTCAGGTCCGAGGCGTCCGAAAGTCGAAGCCGGTCGAAAGTCAAGCAAGGTCGAGAATGCGACGTGGAAACAACGCTTGCTTGTGATGTTTTGGGTCGGCCCGCCGTCTTCCAGTCCAGGATGGCAAAGGTGCGGGTGCAGCATCGACCTCCATGTGGCTCTACAAGAGCGATCGAGGGAATGCGGCTGGCCAAGATTCCAGGTTGAAGTGGAATGTGGTGACGAGGCGATGAAACCACACGCGGCCTTCTGCCGTTGTGGTGAGATGACGGAAGGAAGAAAAAAACTTCGCTTTGGGGGACCGTGCAAGCCATATGTAACTCCCTATCCTATCCTTTCCCCCTTTTACAAGATGCACCCATTGCACTTGCCTATGAACAGATGCCTGCTTGCATTGCACTTGCACTTTGACTCAGTAAACAGTCAGCCAGCCAGCAAAAGTCTGGGCCAGAGCAGGTCCCTACTGAATTGATTCATGGGGTGACCTCCACTGTTGATCGCACCCCCCCCCCCCCCTTCTCTTTCCATCTATTCCCTAGGTATTTCCCCTTCCCTCTCCACTGTCGGTCCCGGGCTCGAGCCTGGCGGCCGCCCTTCAGGCTGCCTACAGGGCACAAAGTGCCCCCAACATCTGCATCGCCCCCCGTACCCCCACCTGGCACCGGCCGCACCTATCTTTTAGCAGCAACCTTAACTGTTCGTAGTACATGTGGCCCATCTCTGCAGGTGTGGAGGCTGCCAGGTGTGTCCTCTGCCTTAGCAGGGCCGCTACGCGTTCCTCACCCACAGGGGCGAGCCTTGCTCTCAAGCCCCCCAGAAACCGCTAAAACATGGCACCATCGATCGCCACCTAGCCGGCCCCTGACACGTTATCCGCTTTTGATGATTTTTTTCTCTCGTCTCCCTTGCGATGTGTGACGCATCCAATGTCTTTTTCTTGCTCGTTGATACTTTCGGCTATGGTGTTTTTGTGCGAGGGAGTCATCGTCAAAGACCCGTCTGGAACCTCAGCCGGTGGAGCAGTCGAACACACCACCCCTTTCCCAAGCCTTCTCTTCTGTTTTGGCGAGGGCCGAGAACGGGGAGGACAGAGTTTGATGAATCATGGGGAATGGGGGTCAATTGAAGCTGTGCGCAATCGGGCGACCGGTCCAGACAGGCCTGCCCGCCAAGATGGATGTTGCTGGTTGAGAGGAATTGTCTGGAATTTGCCTTTCTGGTTGCGTTTCACTGTCTCATTAGTTTCAATCGCGCGTGGTTGTTGTCTTCAGTAGATTATTCGTTTTTTCCCCCCTCTCTCTTCTCTGGCTTTCGCCCGCTGCATGGCCCGCTGCGGCTTGCTGCGGCTCTGAAGTTGCCTCGCCCGACTGGGCAGGAAATTCCACTTCCACAAATTCCATTCATCATCGTACTGATCGAATCCGCCCTGTTCATCAATTCGAAAGCGGAGCCGTGTCGATTCATTACCGATTCACGAATGGGGTCCAACATTAGGATGAACAACATGGTTTTTGCATTGAAGGGTGTATGAAGTGTAGTGTCATCATGCTTGCGGACCCCTCAAGCCCTCTGCCCCCCCCCCTGGACTCGCTTCGCTCGCCCTGGCCGGTGTTTCTGAGCCCCTGGCATATCCCCCGTTAAACGACGTCACGATATCAGGCACAGACAGGCACCGCTGGCGGTGGCAGCCACGAAAAGCCAGTCAAGCTTGCTCAACCGGCGAGACCGCCCGACTGTTGACTGTTGCGGTTCATCGTGACCCGACGATTTGTCGAGTCAACAAAGTGTGTCCCAAGTCGTCTGCACTCTCTTCAGACCTAAGCAGAATTCGGACACACAAGCTAAACAGAGCTTTCCCCGTCTTTTCTCCGCATCGCCTAAATCACCTGTTGCAGCCCGAATGGCACGTCGTTGCAGCAGCATCCACCTCATCACAAAGGACACACCACAAAAAAAAATAGATAGACGAGGGGGAGTGGGACGGCACGCGGAGTAAGGAATCGCCCGCGGCTTCCTCGGCGCGTACGTAATGGCGTGCCCTCGGAAGGCGGAAGGCGGATAAGTGTGACGATCACCCTTCCTGTCAACCCCGGTCTGGGCAGCGGAGCCCGCCGTCAGAGACGAGAAAAGAGGCAGATGCAGGATCGGACAGAAGAAGCGACGGAATGGACAACGAAAACCCCGATGCTCCATCATGGTGCCGATGCATCGCAGTGTTGTCAACAATTCGATGAACCGAAGACTCAGAAAAATCTTTTTTTTTCTTGCTCACCTGTCCCCCTTCCCCCCACCCCCGATTTTCTGTTTCGCTTCATTGCTTCTTACCCAGAAGGGACGAGGAGGGGGGGGGGCGTACACTGGTTGCAGCGCGGTGGTTCGCCTGTTCTGTCCGCCATCGGCGCGCGCGACGAGCTGAGAGCCATGCCACGTTGTCAAACGTGGATCGCGGCCCTCGTTTCCCCCCCAGCCCAAGACCATCGACAGGGCAAAATATACCAGAACCAGGGGGGGGGGGACGTTAGGCGGGTGCCACCTCTGTCTAGCTCTGGGCTTGACCTGTGCAAGGCGGGAAAGGGAAAAATGCCCGGCGAAAAATCCAAATGACAGGGTTGAGTACCTTAGCCAGGATCGCCAAGGCAGAGAGAGATGGAGAACTGGAAAGAACAACACCCTAAGCAAAATATGACAACGTACAGGCAGCAATGCATTTCAAGGCAAGCCAGGCAACCAGACGCAAGGGAGCTGGGAATTCATTGATTACTCTGGCACCGTCTTCTTGGGTTTTGGTAGGCATGTCGGGCGCTCCCAAGGCGTAGTTCTGATTCAGTTTGGCCGGTGCCTTGCTCCGGCTTCGTAGAGCGCAGAGTTCTGTACAAACCAGACCGGGCAGCGATCATTGTAGCGACTTGTACATCTTGCGGTTCCGACGACCTGGCCCGCCTGCAGCTGCGGCTGCGCCTGAGCGGCCTGCTGGCCCTCCCCAGACTGCTCTGCGCTACGTGAGTCGTGGCCTGCCAGCTCAGTAGACCATCGTGAATCGGGATTTCTAGGCCTTGGGACGGACATAATGCTTTTGGGCATACGCCCGCTTGCCACAGCTTGCGATCCTAACTTGATGGTGACTGTATTCGCTTACTTGCTGTCTTGACCCAACCTCGCACAGCCGACACCGGCCGCTCCCTTTTACGCCCGCTCTTGGTCGTGAACCTGTCCGTGACACAACCGAGCGGCCCTCCAGTGTGTCCACCGACCCACCGAGGTGGGGAGCGGAGACCGAGCCCGGTGCCTAAACCCCTGCCAGCGTTCTGGTTCTGGCCGTAGGAACGTAAAGATTTCAGTTGCAAGAGTCACATCCGTGGATGCTATCGCACGGCACAATATGGACGAAGGAAGGAACAGTGTGCGTCATGGATTGTGCTCAATTCTTGGTCAATCTGACGTTTGATGCTATGCTTTGTTGGCTGTCTGCGAGCCATGCAAGATCTCTACAGTCGCTGTGCGCTGAGGATCAGCTACCTGAGTACGCTCCGGAGATACTCCCGGGCATCCAATGCCCCGAACCCCCGATGCCGTACCGTTGCGAAATCCCTAAACGCCTCGCCATTCCCGTGGGTATCCTGCCTCTGTCCCGCCGTTGAGGTCCTTTCCCATGTCATGGTCTTCAAGCCCGTATGGTGCCGAGCCTAATGTGTCGTCCATGAGCTTCCATACATCCCCGCCCTCCGTCGAGTGTGGTATAAACAGTTGTTGCGCCGTGGTGTGCCATCCGGAACTCGCCTTGCCGTCAATGACAAGGTCGATGGACCGCCATGACTCCCCCCCAAACTTTTTTTATGATGCAGTACTCCGGTGTAATGCCCGTACACGTGTTACAGCAGATGACCCCAGACCAAAGGAGATTGTGTCGATTTGTGGTGATATGCCGAGAGAGAAAAGATAAGAGAAAGAAGAAAGAAAGACATGATCGAGTGAGTTGTGTGTTGTAAAATGTTGTGTCAAGGTGTTATTGAGGATGGATGTGTTGCGTGGTTGTTGGTGGTGATGATCTTCGAGCCTAGTACGAGCGTCGTCGCTGGGTCCTGATGCTGTCGAAGGATGCAGCGTAACCGCAGAGCTCCTTCTGTGTCTTCTCGTTCAGTTGCAGATAGCTATCCGTATTGGACGACGCGTTGCTGCCCATGGAAGCGAGGCTGGTGTTCGAGCTCGAAGCCGTCAGGGGACGAGCGGTGTTTGGTGAGGAACCTGTGGGCAGGTACGTGTTGGCTGAGGACAGGGAGCCGTATGACTGAGCGTTGGAAAAGTCGATGGCGGGAGGGAGGTAGAATCGGCTGGATTGCCTCTGACTTGAGGTCCACGGTCCGGTCGAGGTGTTGAAGCCAGGGGAGCTGGCAGCAGAGGTAGACGTCTTCTCAAAGTCGGCCAGGCGGCAAGATTCTGAGCAGTAGGCGGTCCCATCAGTCTGCTTGTCGCAGCCGAGGCAGAACTCGTGAGCCCACATGTCGGCCATGATGTCGTTGTTGTGGGAGAGTGCAAGATGTGCAAGGTGCAAGTGGTGGATGTTGAAGCGGGATTGTCAAGGCCAGGCAGGGCTGGTCGAGGCTGGTAGTATGTGTTGGAGGAACTGGTTGAAGAAGAGTAGGATGCAGATGATGAATTATAAAGACACTGAGCAGGTTTGACTCATATCAGAACAAGCCAATGCAACAAAGAGTGCTGGACGAGATGAAGTCGAATGATGGGGAGGAGCAGGTGGATCGAGGAGTGGGAAGAGGTCGGCTCATATGTATCAATGGTCGAAGCACAGCCCATCGCACCACTTGACACCAGAGTCACCCAAGAGTGGAGGAGCCCAGTCTTGTGAGTGCAGCGTGCTCTGCCCCATCCTGACGCCATGGCAAAGTACCCCACCGTGCATCATTGTGTGAGCAGGTACGGGCGATTGCACCAGTCCAGCCTGCACGTCGCGAAAAGCAGACAAGGCAGCGGCGCTTGAGGGAAGGGAAGGGGGGGGTGGTCTTGCCGTGTCTCCACTTCTCGACCATCGGCGAGAGGGAAGGAGGGGTGCAGCATGGCCAGGGAGTGGCAGCAGCGAGTGAATGGGTGTGAGGGCTTGGAGGCTGCGGCACCATAGAAAGTGAGAGAGCGAGACACAGGAGGGGTGGGCGCTGATCGATGGTGTGTCGTGGGCAGGGATGGCGTGAGCGAGCCTGGACCCCGCTCACCACCATCTGATGAAAGAAATCATCAGTCACAGAAGGAGCAGACCAGGGTGGCAGAGGAGAAAAAATTCTGCATCCACTGTTAGGTATGTTTGGCCAGGGTGGGCGTGTGTGTTGAATTGAGAGGGGTGTGCTTGCATGGTCCCAGCCTGGGCGTTGTGCTGATGGCTGCTGATGGAATGACGTTGGGGTGTGTGCAATCGAGCCACTGGTCCAATAGCCTGCTTTGTTTGGGCATAGTGCAAGTGAAAGTGGGGTCACTTGCTCCTTGCTCAGAACCAGGCCCTATCTCGTGATCTACATCAGAGGCTGCCTTTTTTGTGTTAGCGCCTGTCTGGTTCATGGGGGCCCCGTCTCGTCTCTTGGACGCCAGCAACAGCCAAAGCCAAACCCGCCAGGCCTGCCAGAGAGCATCGAGCCCCACTGATGGTCTTTGTGAGCGTTTTCCCTCTGTTTCAATGTTTTTTTTGTGTCATCAGTGGACCATATTCACCATTTTAAAGTGCATCGTGCCATCTTCCGATTGTTTGGCAGTCGATTACACGGTGCACCATTGAGCCGGCGTACCTAATTGAGCTCGAAGCGATGACTCCATCACACAAGGGTCCCGAGTTGCAGGTCTCGTTTCGGGAGAGGCAGGCCGACCGGGAGAGCTCTCTCTTCGCATACCATTGAAGAATTCCGATGAGTGCGTGGCAAACAGTTCAGCCTAGAGCCTTGTGCTTCGAGTTGTCTGCCTGTCTGCCTGTCTGCCTGTCCAGCCCGCCTCCCCGCGCCTGGCTGTGGCCTCGCCTTGGTCTGGATAGGTATGTTTGAGTGTGGGTATGGATGATCTGCACATCAACGCATTGGTAGTCCCCCAAAATTGCTCAATTGACGATACACTGCGCCAACGAACAGCGACAAATGGAAGAATTGGACAACCACCCTCAGCAGGCAAATGTAAGACGGCAGCCACCAACCTGCGAATCACGAACCTGCCGTGCCCACAAGGACAAAAAAGAAGAGGATGTGGGGACGACAGCCGCAGAACCGCCACTTAACACCCCAACTAAAACAATGCTGTGCAACAGTGAGTAACAGCCGACGGACGATGGGTGAATGGTCAATTGGCGGATTGGATGAGGTGAAGGTGTCGATTTGTGAGGTCACAGTGGTGTGCTTCGTGAAGCGGGGCGTCGGCGAGCAACCACCACCTTCCCAGGACACACGCAATATCGTCTCATTCTCGCTCTTTCCATTTGACCCAAGCATCTCAACCTCAGGCCTCTTCCATCAGAGAACCAGACAGGCACATCATATCTGGACAGGCTACTGTCAGCCAGCCAAGCAGCGCCAGGGGGAACTCACCCCTGCCGCATGGCGACATCGACCAATCCTCCGAACGCCCCCACCATCTAGGACGAGATTGGAACCTCTGTAAGTGCCATCGTCTTCCTGCTGGTTGACGAGATGATGGTTTCATTGGCTGTGGGCCATTCACCTGCATCAGGGCCACGTCCTCTTTGCTGCGGCTTCCAGCTTTTCCAACTCAAGGACGCTTGCCAGGTGCCTTTCGTGCAGGCCTCTAACTCTCGGGCCCAGGAACGGCTTCAATTCAGGGTCGAACAACATACTGGCCCGAGGCCTGTAGTGCCGTGTGGTCAGAGACGCCAACTGCTGTCCTCATGTGCCTTGTCGAAACACCGACCACTTCTCTAGAGTCGAATGAAGGATAGGAGCGCGGAGTAGTGCAGATAGAGCGGGCCACATGGATCACGCACTGAGCACCAAGCACCCACCAAACTATGACGGATCCGGGGACGGGCTCGGCACAGATCGTGGAGACAGGTTGCGCATCAACCCGATGGCTCCACCCTGCATCAGCCATCGGCCGCCAGCAGAGACCGATCATCACACAATAGGACGTCTAAACACATTGCGAGGCGAAATTGGGCACAAACTTGGCCCTCCTCCACAGGACAGCTCGCCTCATGAGCATCGTGAGCGGCTCAAGCAGGGCACCAATGGCGGTGCGCTAGCGACGACAATCACGTACCGAGCACGTTCGAAGGACGTGGTACACGTCTACAAAAACGTCCCCTCATGTGGGCTGGGGGTGCATAACCCCATGATCATCACGCCCACTGCCACTTTCCCACTATATCTGTCGGCATGTCAAGGACTAAAGTTGCCATGCAAACCCCAAGCCAACACCATTGCGCCGCGCCTCGTCGTCAGTTATCACTGTCGTCAAAACGTCCCAGGAGTAAACGAACACCTACCTGCTGCGACGCGTTACCTACGAAGGTCCGACGACACAACCTAGTTCAACTGCAGGCCAAAGTAGCCCTTACCACTTTGGATACGACCTGCATCGGAACGGGCGGGGGGGGGGGGGCGTAGTGGTATCGACTCGAGCAAATCAGTGGCCTCTGCCGCACGATGGAACGTCGCGAGGTGTCCAGCGCTAGTGAACAATCCCCCGCGTGCGACTTCCCCCACGACCGACGGGAACGACCTGAGTCGCCTGTCTTGCCTGCACCCTCGCCACCTGACCAACTTGCACCAACCCCCTAACCTAGTATCGTGATAGCGACTACAGATAGCTCTGCCCATGGCGAGCGAAGAGCTTGCATGCGACCCCCCACCCAGCAGCTGCCTGCAGGTCCCTCAGCAACAGGACCTGCAAATCCTCGTCGTTCGGTCCTGGTAGACGACATGCTGCAGGACAAGTAAGGTGGGAAAAACTGGAGAGACCAAACCATTGGGTGGGCCATACAATCATCGTCATCACAACCATGACTTTGCAATGCCAGTCTTCCCCAAACTATGTCGTCTACAGACATTATCGACCTTCGCACTTACAACTGTTGGGCAGATTGCTTGAAGTGGGGCCAATCAGGACCTCCCACAGCTGGACGATCTGTTTTACCTTTTGATCAACATGAATGATCGTCATGCAAATGCCGTTTCTTTCACACGGGGACTGAGATAATGAGGAAGGGAAAGGCTGGCGCGGTAATCATGAAAATCGGCAGAAGAACGATTGTATGGCGTGGTCATCTCTGGTGGCAACGCGACAGCAACCCACTCAAAATTCGTGGGAGTTGGTCAGTCTTTGATGACAGTTGTGCTAGGACGGATCACCAGATGACAAAAGTCACTCGAGCCCAGCGCCGATGAAATGATCCATCGTCCCCTGGACGAGACAACGGCTGAGAAGCACATGTTGGCTAACCAATCATGGCGATGCCATGGAACGAGCGAATGCGCCGGGCATCTTCTGCGACTGGCTTGAACGAACGGCACGGCACTAGACAGCCCACCTGATGGGGTCACCTGCCCTGGTCTTGGTCTGGGGAAGCGGGCAGCACAGGATGTGAGCGGGCAGTACAAAGAGGATGGTGCGCATGGCGGACCTTGCAAACCATCCGGGCGCCGAGAGCGAGACGTCATGTTTGAAAGCTGTCACCAAATTGCCCGACGCGCGCCTGCTGATGAGCAACATGATCAGATGAAGCAAAACTGCCCCCTGGATTATGGTGCATTATGGTGCAAGACGGACGTGGTTCTGAACTTCTGACACGGCCCCGGGCTTGCAGGCATCAAAAGCGGGCCCTCCTCCTCCCAGAGCGCCCGCACGCGATACGGCGCAGAAGATAGGCCACATGGTCAGTTATCGTAAAGGACACTCAATCCGCTAGTTTCAGAACGGCAGAGAACTCGACGCCGAGTTCGAGATGGACTTGAGGGCGGGGGGTTCAAGACCAGGGAGTCTCTCTGTGGAACTTTGGATGACCCAGTCGGCATGCGTGTCGGCTTGGGCGGTCGATGACATGTCCTCGTGGAACACGCTGGCTAATACATGGTAGTGTTCGGAGACTTGGGAAGACGGCTTCGACGACTCCATTCATCACATACATCAAAGGCCAATGGATGAGCTGTGCCAACGACGTCGTCCAGAGTGGAGCCAAGCAGGTCATCCGCCAGCTAATCAAGAGTGTAAACCGCACCATCATCAAGTCTGGTACGGCACACGTTCGGTCGAAATTAGGGGTTCGAGGGGGACTGAGGGGTCAGTGGCTACCGAGAGAAGAAGCCGGCACGGCACTGAGGTGCCCTTATCTCACGTCGAGCATGTTTGTCCGCCTGACAAGCACGCACGGCGCCCGCTTCGGACCCCGCTCTCTCCCACGCTTTGTCCGCGCCAAGGATGCCCACCATCCTAGACATCGAGAAGGAAGGCCGTATGTCTCCTCTTCGCCGCCGTCGACAAGCTGCAAGTCCTGTCGCTTCGACGCAATATCGCGAGATGCATGGAACTCTGAAGGACAGCAGGGATAATCTGTGTTTGATATGGATACGAGGTCTGGAGGCGAGCAGGACTGGGGTACGTACAAAGGCCTGCTGGACATGTTTTCCTCTTTCCTTTCCAGCCTCGGTCCGGACCACGACCCTCCTTTTACTATCCAGGCCAGCACATCATTAATTCAACACAGAATCACGACAGTTGAACGCCCTTGTTGTCGGCTGTTGTCCATACGGCTGGGAGTGGCTTCGATAGCACATCTTGATACAGATGAACGCGCTTTGTCATGATGACGGGCCGCCCGTTGTAGGCCATCGCGTCGATGCATCTCAAGAAGCTGGGCCACTAATTTGGGGCTAAGCCGTTCAGTCGAGGAACTCGTCGGTCTTTTGGACCCTACATTGGTACCTTGCAGACTTGCAGTCACACCTGGTCCTCCGTGGCGGCGAGACTTTGGAGTGTATCGGCATGTTTGAACCCGCAAATCTTACAAGGCATGGCGTGGGCGTCGTTATCAGAGCTCAACCGGACCTCAGGAATAGCAATGATGGCCCAGGTCAGATGGCGAGCAAGAGGCGAGCAAGAGGCGAGCGTCGCATGGTGCCGTGCCGGTTCGTTCAATACCGTAGAGGCAGCGGCTGCCTGCCGGGGACTCGGGGTCAAGCTTGTCGATCCGTGATATCACTGGCTGAAAGCGCCCCTTTGAACACCAACATTTCTCTCATCAACAGACTGGGTTCGTGGGTACGACGGTCAAGCGACGCATACGATGATCTGTCTTGACTACGGTTGGCGTGCGCACACCAGGACATTTGCAGTCCAGTCTCATGCCAGGCCTCGAGCTTGATAAGCTCTACTCCTTTTGTGAGGCCGTGTCCATGCTGGAGCCCCTGGCTACCCTCTCGACCTCCTTCACGCATTGCATATCACCCCACACAAACCGACCGATGCATCGCCACGGGCAAATGAGAAAGCCGGGGCTAGTCTTACACCTGTCGACAAGGATCAGGACGCACCCCTGACTATTTCCTTTTTCCTCACCCGACTTGCCTGCCACCCACCCCTCCTCCTGGCTCAAACTACGATGCGACTCCAGGCTGGACTGGCGACATTGCAACGTACTTGCGAGCTAAAATGGCCGACTGGCTGTCCGCGCTTAGGCTTGTTTTCGTCATTCATCATGGTTCTTGTGCACAGCCAATGGCCGCCCAACCTTCAACAACCCTCAGGGATCGAATCCTTCCCTTCGTGGGTGAGGGTGGTAGGTCTTGAGATCCGACCAAGCCGAATAACAAGACTCGTTCGGACAGCCCGGCGCAAGCAACTTCATCTTGATGCTGATCGTGAGCTTCCCCTTGTTGGCACCTCGGACCCGACAACGGTCAGACGACGCTGCAATCCCCCCCCCCCTCCTTTCTTAGCCTCAGCCACATTTGAGATATCTCTGGGTACTCAGCACCAGCACGGTCATTCCGACTGCCATGTACGACATGACAGAAGCACGTTCTCACGCACAGACAAACGTAAGCCAGTCGACGTCGAGAGGGTCATGTCCTCTGCTCTCGTCAATCTTGGTCTCAAAGCATCGCCTGCTCCGCCCCCCATCCTTACGAAACCCGCTAAACAACGGCTGGCTCACGAGTAGCTGCACTGCAAGGTTGCAGACAAACAAAAGACTGAAAAAAACAAAGACGAGCCTACATTCTCCTGTCAAACTGACAAGGCGCCGCCAGAGCGTTCCTGTCCCTGTTCCCGTTTCCTGGCCACTGGCTCGGGCTCGGGCTCGGGAGCGAGCGATGGTATCACTCAGCCTGTGCCGTGCAGCGGCAGCAGATGGAGAGGCAAACTATCTCGCCTTGCCTCACACCACACCATACTGGGAGGGCTGCTCTAGGAGGCGGAGCTAAGCGAGGAATGCATACCATCGTGCCGACTAACGATGGCCTCTTACCATTGGCTTGATCCCGACAACCAAGTCGTTCGTCTCATTACCTCGAGCTGCTCTAAGGACAAAGAGGACTAGCGGGGGGGCTGGCAAGGAGCCGCCACGCCAAACGATCAGCAGTTTGGCTGGCGCCCAGTGACTTGAGACTCGCAACGTGATCTCTCAAAGACGGCACCAGCGGGCTAGCGCCAACCACCAACAGCGCCCTGTCAAGAAATTGATGTGTCACGGTCCCTCCCCCGCATTCAGGACTTTCCACCAGGTTATCAATTTTGCAAATGGCACACCTGCATACATGTAGGCTTGGCTCCTTGGCTTGGCACTGTTAGGGTTGGAGACTCTTGTCTCTAAACGAATTCTGACCCCATGTTTCCTCGCCTCTCTTTTCCTTTTCCTGGCTATTTGCCGGGCTATCTTCTACGGGGCAATGCGACAAGCTCGCCGAAAACACACTCGAACAGGGGCCACTGTAGCGGAATTGAGCCCGTGGCGCGGAGACTTGATGGTCCCGACAGGGCTGGGCCTACATGGTAGCTTTACGAGCAACCATCTGGGGTCCAGGGTCGTCTTGGAATAGCACGATCGTGTCCAAGTCACCGAGGGAGCGAGCGAGCGAGCGTCAGTCACACTGCGCACCGTTCACTAGTGCGCTCACTGCCTGAGAGGTCGCCCAGCTCATAAATTCAGGAGGGTTCGCGCCCCGTGCTGATACAGGTCTTGGCGATCTCTGACAACCACTAGAGCCAAAACTCTTCAAGTACCACTCGCATGGCGTTCGTCTTCGACCTTCATCTCATCAAGTCCATTTTTGGGGTCCAAAGCGTTGGCCAGTGGGCATCCAGGACGAGAGACAGACGCGCATATCCCTATGTAAGGGGCGACGCAAAAACTTGCGGGATGGCCTGTTGCGATGACCCCATCCAACACCCTCTGGCACATCCTAGCAATGCTCGGGCCCTCGCGTCTGTGCTGAGGCGGCCTGGAAAGGACAGTTGCACTGATGCCTACATGTACTTACCTGGCTTTCGACGAGGGAACATGTATGCGGTTGGCTCGATCTGGTCTACCAGCGCGCTTGAACAGCACCAGTGGCCCCAGATTGGTATGACCCGAGCGAACAAGGGCAAGGGGCGGAAGCTGAGGTGAGCACGACAATCGACCCCTGGACGCATCTTTTGCAGTGCTTATGAGAGACTCGAGAATCCTCTGCCGTGCGGCGGCGCAGGGCTGGGAAAAGATGAGGACGCGGTACGGCTGAGCAGGGCAAGCAACCCTCCGCTGGGGGGAGAGAGAGGGTGTCGTTAAGCGGCCGCAGCGAACCGATGAGGACTCTTGCATGCATGATGATTTGAATTGGATAGGCCAGTTACCCGATGCGGGCGAACCTTTCGACGCCCTCTCGAGACGCCATGGGGGCGCCCATCGTCCACACCTCCTTACCCGCCCGCTCACCCTCACACTTTGGCCTTCTTCCACATGGCATGACCTGCCCACATTGGATGAAAGCGACAAGTTTTGAGAAGCCCTCTGGAGCAAGACACGGCAGCCCCGTGGCCCAGAACAGTCCTCAGATGTCCTGTTTCGGCCACCCTCACTCTTGTGGCTTCACTCTACTCAGCTGGGCCCTTTGCGCGTGCAGAGGAGGAGAGACATGAGGAAACATCTGTTTTTCCTTTTTCTTTTTGTCTCTCTTTTTTCTCCCCATCATTCTCGACCATGCCGCTGCCTAAACCACATGGGAGGCTAGTAGATTGACTGCCGTGGAATGCTGTTGGCTGTAATCAGCCTGTCGCGCCATCGCCACGAACCAGAGGCACGAACCACAGGCATCTCACTTTGCAAAGCTCGCTCTATGCCGCAGCAACATTCCAGGACCAGATTACAGCGTCTACTGCCGCAGCAGAAACAAGCAGGGGTGGGAGGGCGTCGAACCCTGTGCTTTTGCTCCTACATAGGGCCACACCTATGGCCCTGCAAATGTACAAGACGTAATCCTGCGGAGCGGACTGAGCATCTCAGACTTCGTCTAATGCTCCGGCCCTGCATGGCTGGGAGACACTGGCCATTGACCCTGAAAACAACGACGTCCTGCGCGCCCTGAGGGGCTTGTGGTTCACACATCCACCACGTCCTGCGGCTGCGCGCACACGGCTCGGCTGGTGGAGAGCCAAGACAGACAAGACAACATATCGGCTCAGCGTAATGAAGACCTCGCTTCCGTTCTCTTCGGCCGAGTTCTAGTTATCAGCGAGCGCGCAGAGCTGAACGTTAGAGTAGATGGCACTGTGTTCTCATGGTGGCGACTAGCATGCCTGTACGGTAGCAGCCTCCTTCGCTCGGGCTTGTAGACCCGGAACATTTTGAGGACTTCTAGCGGTTGCGCCTCCAATGCATGGAAGAGAACTTTGGGCACTGCATGAGCAAATTTTTGCTCGCAAGCTCACCGTCGAGGAAGCCCAAGGCGTCAAGAACTTACTCCGTTGGCAGCCATGGCCAAATCGGTACTGTCCCGCAGCCACCCGTTGGCTATTGTCCGTGTCGATCCCTATGGGTTTGAAGGTCTAGGCCAAGTCCATGGACGGTCCCCATGCCCTCGATTTCCGTAGCCTATCGTCCCCTATTTCCTTCGTACTGCGTCGACAGCGGGCAGACTCGAGTCCGCATTGAGACGGATGGGACACAGCGAGGTGTCGACAGGCGAGGCGGAACGAAGACGCGCAGAGCGTCATTTTTTCGTTCTTCTGTTTGGCCTCTGGCTGCTGTGCCTGCACGGATGCTCGGTCGGATGATGGCACTGATCACACCAAGAGAGCCTTGGTGGGACTTGTTCAACTGTGACTCCGCTGCAGGACGCTCCCAAGCAGCTTGATCGAGCATCCGGCCTGTCGGTCGCCACGGCCGAGCGACTGTCCGCTCTGATGTCCGGACGGGCGGACGTTGCCTTTTGTTACATTGGCAGGCCGGGGACGACACGGGAGGTTGCAGGACGACGTATGGGCGAGAGGCCCCTCGCAGACGCGATGCCCGTGGCGTGCCGGTGAAGATGCAAGAGTTTTTTCTTTGGGAACACGTGTTACACAAGCGTGCTTTCAGAGCGATATCGTTGACAAGATGTTTATGTGGCCGATGCTGCCGGGATGCGCACCTTACCGAGCCCGATAGTCGATGCAGGCGCTCTTGATGGTGCATCCGTCGAGACGGGTGATGGATGTTAGGACTAGGTCTGCCTGCGGGCTGCCTTGGTCACGTCAGAGGATGCTCTCTCTCATGAGTGTCGTCGGTGTTGAAGTGTTCTGAAAGGGACCACTAGGTAGACGATTTGTCATTGTAGAAATCTACTTGATGTTTGGGTGATGCTTATCCTCTGCACCAGCTTTTTCTTTCCGTGTTGTTCGCAGAACCTCAACACCAAGAGCCAAAACTCCCATATCAGAGACCGAAACCCGCGCGAGGTTGGCTTTGCCTCATGAGGTCATATCCCAGCGTGATCACGATGATGCCCTCGTCACATCGAGCCAGGCATGTCGTACCACCCATCCCACCGAGTCGTACCAACGGCCTGCAGCGCAGCAGCGCCAATGCGGCTGCCCGGCCGGTCAAGGGAACGAAGTGTTATCGTGCCGCAGGCCTTTGGGCGAAGTTGCGAGGCGTCCCATCGCGGACTGAAGCAGAGAGGCCGGCATCGGAGTGCTTGATTCGTAGAGAATTGCAGGGCCTCGAGGGACCCGTGAGGAGCTGTCGGCTATGCGTTGTCGGGTTATCTACTCTTTGTCACGAATACAGGTATACTACCTCATGCGATGGCTCTCGTGGTCAGCATATGAACTAACGTCGAGCAAAGCGCATCAAGAAGCAAGAGTTTCGGGCCCAGAGTTGTCAGAGGTTCCATCCAGAGTACCCTGGCCGCATGTAGATTCCTTGTCACTATCTTACTCCAGCTGATTATTGAAAAATCTTCTTCCACATATTTCTTCATCAGTTTTCCCGCTGTTCAAGGCGAATCCTCCTCAAGGGGCAGTAAATATCTTACGCGGAGCCTTACGCGGATCGATTGCTCCCGACTCGTAGACTTCGGCTGTACCGTATCCTCAAATAGCCCGCCATGGCACGCGTGGACAAGCATCGGAGTCGGGGTCATATTTCACAAAAAGGATATGACACCTGATTGAACCCATGGAATACAGTGCACGCCGCGAACCGAACACTTGGCCAGGGCGGGAACGTCACAAGATCAGATATCAGCCCCCCATCGTCGCACGAAATGGAGATTGTCTCGTAGATAGAACATGACAAACACAGAAACGCTAGTGACCAAGACATTTCACAAAGTGACAGATGGGAGACAGCCAGGTGACAGCCCATAACGTAAGGAGCTCCCAAGATATCACCACTTGAACCGTTGCACAGGAATCCATCCACCTCACCATGTACAAACACTAGACGGCTGGGACTCATTGCATGTCATCTCTATTGGCCACACTGATCGATGCCTCTTACTCACTATAGAGCTAGCTCTGCGCGTGCTAATGTTGTGCGTGTCTCCACGCGTATAGACTCGCGTCGCTCGACCACCCGCCCCCTTTTTCATTGTCTCGTATGTTTCAAATGTCCATTTCGCCGCATGGCGTTGACTACAGCCCTCTCCCTCTCCCTTCCCACAGGGTAACTATCCTCTTGACAAAGCCGCCGCCAGCTTCTCCCCGCGGAAGGATAGAATCAAAGAAAAACGTGCGTCCAAAGTCGTATCTGCACCGATGGCCGGTGGAGGCGTGTCTATCCTGCAGTGATTCATACCCCGACGACCACCCCCCGTACGGGTGACTGGGGCGAGCCAGGGCAGTCGGGACGGGGTATAAGCAAGGCGCGGTATGAAATCATGAAAATCGTTGGCGGCTTGTTATGGTCAAAGTCCATAGAGTTCCCACTTATCAAACGCTTGGCCGTGCGCCTGCGAGCCTGACGACAACAAGCCGGTCGTTGCATCCGAGTCGCGCTTCGGTGCGTACTCTGTTCTCAGTTCTTCAGTGTGTCACAGCTCGTCATCCTCGAGCTCCGAGGGCTTCAGCAGACCGCCGACCTTGCCACGACGCTCAAAGTCGGCTGCCTTAGCATCCTTCTCCTGCTGCTCCTTCTCAATGAGGAACAGTTCGGCATTGTCGCCAGCAAACTCCTTGAGGGACACGAGGAAGTCACGAAGGTTAAGACGGAACTTGTCGTATGTCGTGTTGAGATTGAACAGACCCTCAACGAAGCTTTCAATTTGTGCACTACATGGCAACTGTGAGCTGAGATTCAACAAGAACGAGAGGGATCGGTTAACGTACGGCTGGAGGTTGGGGAAAGCTCCCTTGAGGAGCTGAGCAACAAAGTTGGCCAGGAACTCCTTGTTAGGCGTGCCGCCAGGGGCCTGATCAGGCGGGTAGATGGGGCCCTGGATCTTGGGGGAAGTACCATCGGCGGGGTGCACGAAGTAGAACATCCTCATCAGAATCATCGACTGTGTCTTGAAGCCGGCCTTGTGGTCGGTATCGGTGAGGACGAAGAACACATCCTGAAGAATCGTGATAAAGAATTGCTGGAAGAAGGCGTTCGACGTCTGCACATCGGTTTCGGCAATGTTGTTGATGAGCTCAAGGCACATGTTGAGACCAGCAGCCTCGACGTCACGGTTGTCGTGCTTGAAAGCCCAAGAGCACGAGTCGATGACGAACTTGAACTGTCGGTTGTCCAACTTCAACAGCGCTGTGTTTGAAATCAGTGTCCAGTTTTTTTTCTTTGCGTTGTTTGGGGGGGGGGGGGGGAGGGGGGACATAGCATACCAGGGAAACAGTGCAAGTTGATGGCCCGGAGGAGGTTGAAAAACTCCACACGGTGCTCCGGAAACTCGGAGAAATCCTTATTGATCATCTCTAGGGTGCACTCAAAGACGTTCTCCATAATGTTGGGAACCTGGTCCTCCATGAGGCTCTGCGGTAGAGTTGTTAGTTCTGATACCGGCCGGGAGCGTGTGACTGTGCAACTTACGGAGAGTTTGGTGATTATGGCCGAGATGGCCTTGAGGACCTCAGCATCACGAGCGCCGGCCACGTTGCGGTTGTAGTCGGTGAGGATGGACTCAAGCAGGGGAGGCACCATCTGTTGACGAACAGCATTGAGATCCTCGGCCTTCTCCACATAGGTCTCGATGAGCTTGAGAATCTCCTTTTTGATCGTACGCAGACCCCGGACATTGGGCATCTTCGTGGCGATCTCGCCTAAAGAAGTTGTCAGCCAAGTTAACGAGCCTCGTAAAGCCATACTTACCCTGGTTCTGAACAGCCTCCGAAATGAGCTGGCTGGTTGCTTGATACATTTGCAGCATATCATGGAAGATACGGCCGATCTGGGGGTAGAAGTAGGGACCGATTGACGAGCAGGCAGATACGTTCGTCTTCATAATGTTGCCGATGATCTTGATCGTCTCCGAGTCCTGAAGGAAGGTCGGGTTCGCCCTGGCCGTCTTGATGACCTCGTCCCAAGCAGCGTTGGGGATGGCCATAAGGTCGCTGAGTAGCCTCTCCTGCTGGTGCTTGTTGCCCTGGGCAGCTACCATGTAGCCGCACGCCTCGTAAAAGGTGTGAATTTGCTGAGGTGTCAGATCACAAGTGATCTTATGCATGTTTCTAACAATCTCCTCGATAAACGGCTCATTCTCACTAGGCTGTAGAGCGACGAAGTGACGGCGACATTGCCTAGCAATTTTGATGAAGGTGTCGCAAGCCATGTCCTGAACACCTGTTGACTCGTTAGCGGACATGTTCGATCAGTATACCCGGTCTCTTCCAATCGCTGTAACTTACCCTCGTGCGACTCGTGCATGAACTCGAAAAGCTTATTGACAACCGTCTTAAGGAATTTCCAATGCGCCTTCAGGAAACGAGGGTACTGGCCGACAATGTACATGATGTTACTGGCGACGACGGCCTTGTTATCTTTGCCACGCTTCATCTCGGTCAGGCCAAGAAGATCCTTGATGACAGTCACGAGGAACCTCTTCTCCGTCTCTTCGTTCATGGCCAGGGAAATCGAACCAATGGCCCAGCAAAGCACGTTGCAGTTGTGCCACGACCATTCAGTGCCGTCAACTTGGCGTGCCAGCTTCTCGGTCATGATGTTCTCCGTGTCGGTAACGTCTAGATGTGTGAGGTACACGAGACATTCGCGAATAGTCTTGTAGAGCTGGACCGTGTCACTTTCCTTGACGAATTCGCGAACAATCTCTCCCTCGTCGTTCTCGACGACGAGAACCTCTTCGGGACGGACCATCTTTTCAATCATGACCTGGCGGAGGTTTGACAGAACTTCGCCGTATTTGTGCTTACGTAACGGGTAGTTTGCCAACAGCGCCGGGTTGGGTGCGCCCGCGTTGGACAAGCCACCGCCCATACCCATCAGCGGGTTGAGCTCGGTCATGGGGAGCTGCTGCATCTCATCGTAGAGCTCGTTGACAAGTTTCAGCCAGTAGTCGAGGCAGATCTTGAAGATCTCACGGTCCTCGATTTGCGATATACGGATCAGATAGAAGTGTCCGTGAGCAAGGTAATCCCGGTTCGGCAAGTTCTCAATAAGCTAGGCTGCGTCAGCATTGCGGAAGTTCAGTCGTCCCTGAACTGAAACTTACGCTTAGGTGCATGCCAAAGAAGTTGGAGAGGAACAAAGCCATGTTCTGGACAAACTCTTGATCCCTGGAGTTTGAGGTAGGGTACGTTGTCTTGAGGTCGATGGTGATGGGGACGATGTTAGAGATGGTACTAAGAACCTCGGTGAACATCTTGACCAGCTGCTCGTCGTACGAGTTTGGCTGCCCGGGGCCGCCCGTCTGCAGGCCGCCAATCTCGGTGAGGCACTGCAGGGTGACATTTCTGAACTCGGGCTCGGGAAGGAAGCGCGTGCGCAGGGTGTCGATAAGGTTCGTCTCGAAGATGTAGCCCAGAGGGATCCAGTTGCAGAAGCGCAGCAACGTCTCAAGTGTCGCCTTGACGAGGCTAGTCTGGGTGGCCGAGTTGAGAACCTCCTGGCAGAGGGTAAAGATTTGGGAGAACTCGGCGCACATGGTGGTCTTGAGGTTGCGCGTCTTGGTCGATGTCATTTGCTCGGCAGAGTAGTCAAACACCTCCTCGGACAGGAGTCGCAAGATGACCATATTGTTCTCGCAGACGGACAGACTCGAGTGGCATGCCGATATGATTTCGTTAATGAAGGTCGGCCAGTTGTGGGGCCAGTCTTGCTTGAGGATGGAGATGAGGACGAGGTTGAGTTTGTTGAGGAGGGTTTTCTGGGCTTTCATGGTCTCTTCGGAGCCCGAGACCTGGAGAATGAATTGCACGATGAAGTTGCGGATGCCTGGTTGTGTGTAAGTAGAAGGCCCGCGGAGTGATAGGTCGGGCAAGACAGCTAGGTGTTTGGAGGACATACCTTGGCATTGCTCCCGGGGAAGAACCTTCCACCTCGTCATGATCACACTGTCCAGAACCTGCAGGCCCAAGTCTGTTGGTAACTGTTAGCGACGGCACACCCACGAGCAGCCAGGCCGCGACCGGTATTTACGCACACTTGGTCTGAGGATAGGAAGCCTCGGAGAGGATGTTGTCGACGAGGAGCCATGAGTCCTGGTCTTCTTTGAACTAGTAGGAGAGCATATTAGCTTGAGCCGGTGGCTTTCTGATGCGAAACAACACCATCATACCTGGTTGAGAGCGGCTTGGGCTTGCTTTTGCTGTCATCGCATACCATGTTAGCGAGGTGCCGCAATGAGGGGGGCACGGGTTACGGCTATCGTCGCACCTGCTCGCCACGTCCTTCGTAGAAGGAGCGGACAAGGTTGTCCAGCTCCGGTATGGTGATAGCCATCGGGGTGGTCGCTGTGGGGTCGAAACCTGGGATCGCGATCTGGAAACCCGACGGCTGGGAAATGCGGTCGGTGGATGGGAGAAGGTCGGAAAGGCGGGGAGGGATAGACAGGGCGACAGGTGCCAGTCGGCTGTGATGAGCAAGAGTCGCAAACGGAGCGGGGGGTGGTGCAGCTTGAGGAAACTTCAAGTCTGATGCGCAAAAGGGAGAGCCTTGCTGGCGGAGAGGAAGCAATGGGAGGGGAGGGGAGTGATGGCAGGGACTGGAAAGGTCGTGAGGTGGTTTGGTTAATCGATGGAGGCGGGATGGCGGGGGGGGGGACAACCAATTTTGTCAGCCGGCTCGAGGGACTCCACCGAACAAGTACCGGTACCAAAGGGGAGCTCTGGGTCGGGGCTGTAGTCCCGCTGCCTGGCGGTGGCTCATGCCGTCATAGTCAGGCACACTGCCAAAACGCCACTGCAATTTGCTACGTGCAGGAGAGCTGTAAGGTACCGATACCTGTGACAATCCAGCCTTCTCCCCCTCACTCCACTGGCCTGGCGCAGCAACCTAGGTACCTAGGTAGGTAGGTACCTTAGGTAGGTAGGTACAGCTTTGAACAGCCATCGCGTCGCAACACGGTCACGTATCTTGTGGCGACCTCATTTGAATTCCTCTAGAAAGCCTCCTGCAATTCCGAGCCTCGGTGACTGCTTTGTGGTCCGCCTTTTCTCTTCTCTATACAACCTGCCGGTTCATGATCCAGGCTACAGACAGATGCGCGAGCTTATCACATTCCGAAGCCTGCATTTGTTAAGGGACGGGGGGTTGTTGATGACCACTGAGATGTTCCAAAACAGCGGTTGCTTTGATTGTCACGGCTGCATCATGCCTTCTTTCTCTGCATCGCACTTCTTTCTCTTTCTAGAAGGATATGGTCTAGCATTCAAAATTCAGAATCCTCACAAGGGTCCGATTCGTACAATTCCTATAGCACACCACATACTCCGTTTTTCTATGCCTTGTATCCGTTTTCCACGAGGCCATCCTTCAGCGCCTTAAGCGCCTTGTCGACCTCTGGTCGAGAGGGATCCATCTAGACGTCGTTAGTCAAGCGCACGACGAAATTTGGAAACAAATAATTAGACTGACCACGCTGACACCCATGTGTCCGAATCGAACATACTTGGGCGCGATCTCCTTGTGGATGCCTCCAGCCCAGACGACGCCCTTCTTCGCCAGAATAGGCAGAATATCGGTAGCCTTGATGCCCTCGGGAAGGTAGATGGCCGTCATGCCGTGGGCCTGGTCCTCGGGCTTCGCAGCTACCTGCTTCAGGCCGAGTTCCGTGATCGTCTTCTTCACCCTGTCTGACACCTCGCGGTGGCGAGCGAAGCGCTCAGAGAGGGGCTTGGCGAGGATCTGTGTCAGCGCCGTGTGCAGCGCGTGGACGAGCTGGGGAGACGGTGTCGCAAAGTACGAGGGCTTCTTGGCCTCGTAGTTTTGCATGACTATGCTGGTTAGCAGCGACTCAAGATCGTCGTGGCCTTCAACAGGCCAGGGCAGGGAATGGCGTACTGTGGGTCCAGTTCTTCATGGAGGCAAAGTAGGCGGCCACGGGCGTCTTGCGGTTCTGGAACGCCTCGATGGCCCTGCCGCTGAACATGGAGATGGACAGGCCGGCTGGGCAGCCAATGGCCTTCTGGCTGGCCGTCACGACACCGTCGAGCTTCCACTCGTCAAACTGAATCTCCTCGCAGGCGACGCTGCAGACGCCATCGACGACGAGCAGAGTCTCGGGCGAGACCTTGCGAACCAGAGCCGACAAGTCCTTGAGCTCGCTGAGAACACCGGTGGACGTGTCGACGTGCGTGACGGTGATCATCTTGTACTTCTTCTCCTTCAAGGCCTTCTCGATCTCGGGCAGCTGGGGACGCTCGCCGACGGGGGCCCGAAGCTGGGTGACGTTGCCGCCATAGGCCTTGAAGCAGTCGGCAAAGCCGTCGCTGAAGTAGCCGGTGGTCAGCACGAGGACGTCTTCGCCGGGCTCGACCAGGTTCGCGGCGACGATATCCCAACCTAGGGTGCCGGAGCCGGAGATGACGTAGGGCTGCGAGGCGGGGTCGGTGGTCTGGAAGAGCTTCCTCAGCATGGTGAGGGTTTCGCCAAAGGTGGCGACAAAACCGGGGCCGACATGGCTTTCGCTGTAGTGGCTCATGGACTGGAGGACGGCATCATCGAATTCGATGGGCCCCGGGATCATGAGGGCGGGGTGCTCAGGTTGTCTCGACATGGTGGATTGCGATCGCGACTGTGTCTGGGTCAGGTGGCCGAGATGGGACGGTGAAAGCGGAGAAAGTGCCAACGGCAAAGGCCAACGGCAAAGGTGACGAGCTTACGGTAGACAATGGTGAAGCTACACTTGGAGAATGCAGGTGGCCCGAGACGAGAGATATCCGGGCGGATGA